AGCTTTTTAGTTAGAATAAGACTGACAATTTGAGTGACAATATGACTGACGGTTTGACACACACTATGAATTAGCTTTTTAGTTAGAATAAGACTGACAGTTTGAGTGACAATATAACTGACGGTTTGACTGACAATATGACTGTTGATTTGAGTGAGTGTATGATTGAGAGTTTGGGTGACAATATGACTCATAGTTTAAGAGAGTGTATGACTGATGGTTTTAGTGAGAATAAGACTGATAGTTTGACTGACAATATGACTGACGGTTTGACACACACTATGAATTAGCTTTTTAGTTAGGATAAGACTGATAGTTTGGATGACAATATGACTGACGGTTTGACAGCCTCTATGACTTACGGTTTTATTTAGAATATGATTGAGAGTTTGGGTGACAATATGACTCATAGTTTAAGAGAGTGTATGACTGATGGTTTTAGTGAGAATAAGACTGAGAGTTTGGGTGACAATATGACTGTTGATTTGAGTGAGTGTATGACTGACAATTTGAGTGACAATATGACTTCGGTTTGACAGACACTATGAATTAGCTTTTTAGTTAGGATAAGACTGACAGTTTGACTGACAATATGACTGACGGTTTGACAGCCTCTATGACTTAAGGTTTTATTTAGAATATGACTGAGAGTTTGGGTGACAATATGACTGCTAATTTGAATGAATATATGACTGATGGTTTTAGTGAGAATAAGACTGGCAGTTTGAGTGACAATATGACTGTTGATTTGAGTGAGTGAATGACTGACAGTTTGACTGACAATATGACTGACGGTTTGAGTGACAATATGACTGACGATTTGACTGACAATATGACTGACGGTTTTAGTGAGAATAAGACTGAGAGTTTGGGTGACAATATGATTGTTGATTTGAGTGAGTGTATGACTTACAGTTTGACTGACAATATGACTGACGGCTTTAATTAGAATATTACTGACAGTTTGAGTGACAATATGACTGTGGTTTGACAGACACTATGAATTAGCTTTTTATTGAGAGTAAGACTGACGGTTTGACCGACAATATGACTGACGGTTTTATTTAGAATATAACTGAGAGTTTGGGTGACAATATGACTCATAGTTTAAGAGAGTGTATGACTGATGGTTTTAGTGAGAATAAGACTGATAGTTTGAGTGACAACATGACTGACGTTTTGACTGACAATATGAGTGACGGCTTTAGTTAGAATATGACTTAGAGTTTAGCTGACAATTGGCTGACAGTTTGAGTGACAATATGACTGAGAGTTTGACTGACAATATGACTGACGGTTTGAGTGAGTGTATGAATGAGAATATAACTGACGTTTTGACTAACAATATGACTGACGGTTTGACATCGAAATTCATTCATATATATGTATTGATCAATGCAATCACCCTATTTAATATTATTATTTATCAATTAATTTTTCATTACTACATGCTCTCAATTATTATGACATTAATATTTATCAATAAATATTTCATTACTATATGCTCCCACCCAATTTGACATTATTGTTCTTTGACAAATTTTTCTTTATTAAAGACACTCTCACAAATTCATATCAATATATTTTAATTATCACCTATTCCAATCCATTTTCATATTCATATTCTTATTGAGTTAGAATAAATTGAGGATGACTGAGAATCAAATTATAATTAGTGAGAATCAATTGAAGAATACTGGGAGTTAATTAAGGTTATTTAAGAATAAATTGTGAATAAGTGACAATCAATTGAGGATGAGTGAGAATCATTTGATTATTAGTGAGATTCAACTGAACATCAGTGAGAATCAATTGAATAATACTAAGAAGAAATTGAGGAAGTGTGAGAATCACTTGATTCTTAGCGAGAATCAATTGATTCTTAGCGAGAATCAATTAAGGATGAGTAAGAATCAATTAATAAGTAGTGAGAATCAATTTAGGGTGACTGAGAATCAATTGATTCTTAGTGAGAATCTGTTGATAATTAATGCGAATCAATTGATTATTTGTGAGAATCAATTGATCAGTAGTGAGGATCAATTGATTATTTGTGAGAATCAATTGAAGATGAGTAAGAGTCAATTGAAGATGAATATGTGTCTATTCTGATATGACTTAGTATCTACTGAGGCTAGATGCTAACATCTTACTTTTATGATCATAATTTTTCAACTCCATTAATATTTATAACAATATTTTGATTACTATTTAATGCTAAACCATCTTCATCTACCATTAAATGTTTCGGATGATTTGATTTTAATTCAGTTGGGTTCTATTAGATGTAATAGTGTAAATTCTGATAGGGTATATTTCAAAAATTTTATATTATTCTTCCAATAAACCCTATCAAAAAGAATGGTATACAAATAAAATAACTTATCAAGATGGTAAACCTAAATTCACTGTTTTGGATTCATTATCAAATGCATATGTCGGAGATTCACCATCATATCCTTGGGGACAAATCGTTTCAAAAATCAAAGAATTAAACAGAAATATTAAGAATGTATATAATTTTGGACATAAATTATTTGGATTTGAAAATAAATCTATCATTTGTTATTTGGAGGAACTCAAAGAGCGTTTTATCTCGAATAGCGATGAAGTAAAGTATCTTCAAACATATAAAACAACACCTAAATTTCAGAAATCCGCTGAAGCTTTTACAGAAATGGTAAATATGATTATAAGTGAAAAATATTTGCAAACAGATCTCAGTCAAATTAAAATCAAAATCCATCGTCTAGGGGAACAATATATTCTTAAATTTTTAGAAGCATTTATAATTGCCCGCCCCAAATTTTATGCACAGGTTATAGGTTTCTTACAAAATTTTTCATTTGACCAGGAATTATACTCAAAAGCAGGAATTTCTAAACCATTAATACAAGCAATAATTAATGGCGATAAAAGATATTCGAATATTTTTGCTTTTTCAGGAAAATCGTGTGATTTAACAATCAAAGATTTTATTAATGTTTTAATTTCAGATCAAACAAATCAAAATGGTGAAGAATATTATCAAATACGTATCAGATCTATATTGGATAATAGTAAATATTCTTTCTATGAACTAGCAGTTAAATTTGAATCAATTAATATTTTAAATTCGTGTAATATAGATAATGTTACACCAATCATGAAAGCATTGATAATGTCAAGCCCAAACGAAACAATTTTCAAAATGAATGATAAATTCAATTTGCAGACTTATCAATTTACAAACCAAATCAAGTATGTTTTATCTTTTGCATACAATATCTCAGAGTTATTTTCTACATTTAGAAATCCATTACTCTCTTCGATTGTTTCAACAAATAATATTATATCAGTAATGAATTTGAATGAAAGCAAAGTTATTCGTTTAAAGATTCATTTAATCTTCCATGAGGCCCTAATTCAAAATAATGATTTTATGTACAAGAACTTTAATGTTTTGAATCAAATAAAAAACAATGACCTTCTGGAAATTTTAGCAAAAGCTTGTTTGAAAGCTGACAAAAAAATTCAAGCAGATTTTGAACAAATCATGGGTATTAAATTTACAGCGATCAAACAATTTCATGAATCCATAGAAAAAATTCCAGTTGATCGGTCTCCAATTACAATAGATGGTTGCCATATTTGTTTTGAATGCTCTAAAAATACTGATATTGAAAAACTCAAATCAATGCAATTAATTCTAATAAGCCCTGGTATTCATATCAATGTGTTAACTTATGAACAAACATTGAAGTTTTTGGAACAAATGCCAGCATTTATTCATTTGGGCCTTTCCAATATAAGTTCTGATCGATCTGTAAACTTAAATTATTTTCTACTTCAAAACGAAGATTATTCCCCTTTAAAAATTTCTACAGATAATTATTATTACTTTAAGATCACATTGTATGACAAAATCGTATCCTTTGAATATTCAAAAGTATCAGATACGTTGTGGATGATTACTGTACCAAAAAACATGAAAAACATAAAATTACCCAAAGAGTTTTCAGGGAGGTTAAAATGGTACATTCAAATAACGAAAGTTGATTGATCTCCCAGGACATCCTCTGCAAGATGAAATACAGGAAAAAATAAAGCATGATAATGAGATTGGTGATATCTTAACTTCATATCCCGGGAAATTTTATGTAAATTATAGCACAACGATAAGAAGTGATAGTTTATTCGTCAATGGAAATCCTATAGAATTTCTTATATATATTCCAAGCGAATCAGGAAATTTGGCGTTGGAGTGTAATTTAATTCACTTAGATGCTACTTTTTCATGGCCGAAATATATATTTATTTTTCCTCGTGGTAATTACTATATGCGAGGTTACCCTCTAGGGATATACATAGGGCGCAGCGAATCATCCGCTGCTTATCAACGGTGGCTTACAGCCATGAATATTGAATTTAAATCATTAAACATTATGGAGCACTTTTCAAGAATCAAATGGATGAGCGATTTAGGTACTGGAGTTTTAAAATTTTTGAATACGAATCATTTCCAAAATTATATCTGTATTAGGCACTATCTCGGAACCATGGGCAATAATACTTTACTACATGTTTTTGCTCTGATAGTATTATTATCAAAATCGGCCCAAGATTTTGAGGACAATTACAAATGTTTTGATCCATCGGTTCAGAAAATGTATGCTACAAAGAATATATCAGATGAGCAGCTGGAAAAATGGAAGCAGATATATAAAGATCAAGAGCATTTAGCAGCATACCACCGCATTCCACCTATAAGCACTAATAATAGTGCAGAGGGTAAGCATAGACACATTAACGAACTTGCAAAAAAAGCAAGAAACTTTTCTACTTTCATCAAATTCATTCTGAATGATACTATCATTAGGATTAATGAATCAATTGATCCCATTAATAAGCAAAAACGCGAGAAGAATGACTTGTTAAACGAAAAATGCATACATTGCGGATTCTCCTATAATGATATTAATACTGATAAGAATCCTTGTAAATATTGCAAGGATTTCTTTATGAATAAGAGTCATGTTCCCTCTGCAGGCATACATGTTATGAAAATAGGAGAAAACGTAGGTGAAATCATAGAATTCCCAATCGATAAAAATGTAGGTGATCAGGATGAACTCGTGGATCACAAAGAAAAGAGTTCGCCGATCGAAATATCAAAATACGCAGAATTTATTGATATTGACGATAAAAATAAAGCAGTTTTAGTCGTAAAACTGCTTTATAATCTTGAAACGTTCCAAGATGCCAAAGATTTAATCAATTCTCTGGAAAAACAATCAAAAAATTATGAATCTGCATTACAAAATAAACCAGAAATTTGGTTGGAAAAATACTTGCCTGAATTAATGAAGGAAGTAAAAGATGCGAGAGCTGCTAGAATGAGATTGAAGATAATAAAGAAGTAGAGATGATGAGTGAATAAAAACTTTGTATTAAATTTGTATATAAAAGAATTATAAAAAATAAAGAAGTGGTTGATAGGAATTTGAAAATTCGTTGGGTGCATATAAGTTTGATAAATATATTTATGAATATTAATGTCAAATTGGGTGGTTGCATATAGTAATGAAAAATATATTAATAAAAATTAATGTCAAATTGGTTGGTTGCATATAGTAATGAAAATAAGATTAATAAAAATTAATGTCAAATTGGGTGGATTCGTGATAGAATGCTTCTGTGTATGTGTGGCGTGAGTTAGCATCGGGTGGTTGCGTGATAGAATGCTTCTGTGTATGTGTGGCGTGAGTTAGCATCGGGTGGTTGCGTGATAGAATGCTTCTGTGTATGTGTGGCGTGAGTTAGCATCGGGTGGTTGCGTGATAGAATGCTTCTGTGTATGTGTGGCGTGAGTTAGCATCGGGTGGTTGCGTGATAGAATGCTTCTGTGTATGTGTGGCGTGAGTTAGCATCGGGTGGTTGCGTGATAGAATGCTTCTGTGTATGTGTGGCGTGAGTTAGCATCGGGTGGTTTCATCACAAATTTTAACCCATCCAAATCTTATTAATTATTAAAATTCTTTTACAATTTCTGATGTATTTTTTGAAAACATTTCATATGCAATATTTCTCCTTTTCTTTCCTCAAATCTTCAAATATTAATAACTTTGGATATGAAATTATTTGGATCTTTTATGAATTTTAAATGTCTTTCTTAATATCAAATCGATTAAATTATTAATATTTTCTAAATTATGCCTTAAAAATCCAAATATAAAAAATCGTAAATAAAAAATATATTTTTTATTTTTATTTTGTAAATAATCCGTTTACTAAATGGGACTGTATCATGAAAGTAACAAAAATCATTATTTAACAAGATTCAAAACTGATGCAACGAAATGCACATTGATTTTGTAGTGTAACAAAGAGAGATTTATTGTAAAAAGTACAAAATAGTATATTTATTATCGTGATTAGCGTAGAAATGTATGAGTTTGGGACGGATTTCTGGTGCATTCATAACTAAAGTGATACATTGTCTGGAGCAAGTTCAGATCTTTAACTTATGGCTTGTTTGGTGCTAACTCACCCAATTTAAGTGCACTAGAGGGGATTTTGTCTGTAATGAGCATGCACCTTGAGTTGTTGCTTGGTCCGTGTACGAAAGATAGTAATTTAATACTATACTCGATTAAATGTGAATTTCTAATTTTGAATTTGCGTTTTTTCCTGAAAATAGTTACAATATATGAAAGAGTTGGCAAAACTAGAGGACACGTCTTTAAGGGTTTGGCTCGTGCTTCATGTTAATATGCCGAAACTAAAATAAACGTATATTGGGGGTCGAAAATTGAGAGCTCATATCTTTAAGTGTTGATTTTTTATTTTTTAACTTATGGATATTTTAAATCACATTAGGTATATAGCAATTACGCAGTGCAATACATCATTTTTCGTCTATAATAGCCCATTTTCACGCCAACGATAATTTTCGATCAGAAATCTTAAAAGTTCAGGAGTTATTCCAAAATTCCGATAATGCTTATTGCAATGTAAAGCTATATTTGGACATATGAGCATAAACATGTCCAAAATTGAAAAAAAGACCAATTCATCAAAACATATTCGTTTAAAAAACAAAGATCTGGATCGTGTATGTGCATAGGTTTCTGTTTCCGCCATTTCCCAATATTTTCTATCGCATCGTTTTCAATTCAATAAATAAAGGTCCTCAATTTTCGAATTCTCTTGAACAATAATTTTGAAAAAGTCTAATCCGCTTGTTTCAAATAAGAGTTATTCGATTAATTGCAGCGAGAAAGAATACATTAAAAATTTACAACCTCTCTTACAAATGTTCTCAAAATATTTTGAAACAAAATTTTGAGAATAAATTTGAGGCTAGATGGATAGATCCAGACCATGATGGTCTCTTAAATTGTGAAAAAACAATGCATTGAAACTCAGACCAAAATTTCCTTCTCAATTTTACTTTTTTTCGATGCAAGTTACATTTAGCACTCCTCTGCTGCCACCAGCACAAAAGGAGTGCTCGTTAGGACACATACTCTGTGTCTGCGCAGCAACCCTTGGCTTTGAAACAGCTTTCAACGTTCTTTTCTCTTTATCAGAACCGATTATGGACGAATTAAACCTTTCATCAACCGGAAAGTTCTTGTGTTGGCTTTCTGGACCACTTGCAGGTCTATTTCTCTTACCTTTTGTTGGTATCTGGTCTGACAGATGCAGAAGCAAATTTGGAAGAAGAAGACCATTCATTGTTGGCGGAAGCATATTTACTTTAATTGGGTTAGGCCTACTCTTACTCTTGAAGCATTATGCAGATAAATTGAGCAGTTTAAGAAAAACAATTTCCATGTTTTTCATTTTATTCATAAACTACGCCTCTATTAATACGATGATGGCCCCGTCAAGAGCTCTAATAGGTGATATCATCCCCGAGAAGCAGCAGGACTTGGCAAATGCAATTGCATCTGTCATGGTTGCACTTTCATCGGTATTACCTAATATTGTTGGTGGTGTTGGCTACTTCATCAAGAATAACTCATATTCCGATAGGGCCGAAAACCTTACACTCTACTTTTGCCTTGCAATGATTTTTATTTGCGTAACAATAACAGTCATTGCAGGAAAAGAGAAACCATACACTGAGGTTAATGAAAAGAAGTCGGATAATAACCCAATCGTCCAAATGTTTAAGGAAATTAAGAATATGCCATCTCCTATCGTTAGATCATGCATTCTTATGATCCTTAGCTGGGTAGCGAACTACATGTACACGATGATGGGTACGGACTACTTCATGAACGAAGTTTTCGCTGGAGATGATCCAAATAAAGGTCTTTGCTTCGGCATGATCGTCATTGCCTGCTCGAACGCCCTTTCGTTCGTCTATGGCTGTTTCCATGCCAATCTTGTCGAATGCTTTGGAGATAAGCTCGTATACGCTGTTGCTCATATTATTGAAGCAGTTTCACTGACATCTGTCTTCTATATCAGCAACAGATGGGCTCTGTTAGCAATAATGGCTCCAATCGGTATCGCAATTGCTAATTTCAACTCTACACCTTATACTCTTGTTTCTCTTTCAGTTAATGAAGAGATGATGGGTATTTACATGTCAGCATTATCATCATGCATCGATATCGCTTACATTATTGCTAATACGACCATGAATTTCGCTCTAGGAACAATTTATACAAAATTTGTTCCGAAAACATGGAATGTTACAAGATTACAGTTCTTAATCGGTTTGTCCGGTATATGGGCTGTAATAACTGCAATTTTCTCCGCTTTCATCATTGTTCCAAAGCACAGATTCGATTCTTCACTAACTGCAGAGAGTACTTACACTGGAACAGAGTCAATGAATTCATACCCTGAGTATGAAGAAGATCCTATAGAATAGAATAAATTTGTTTGAGCTTTTTAGTGAGAAAATCATTATTTTTCTCACAAACCCAAAAAAAGTTTCATTTAGGTTATGTTTTTTTATAAGATATAATCGCTTGAATAAAATTATGTAGTATATATGGTATTAAATTACTATTAATTTTTTATTGAAAAAAATTAATAAAAAATCTCAAAAAAACTTATGGTAAATATAATGTTTTCTTCATGGGTTTGTGGTATTAGAACTCTCATATCATAATTTTGATTTGTTGTACATTTTGGATTTTTATTTTTGAAATCAATAAGTGTTAGTTTCATTTTCAAACATTACTGCAAGAATATTAATGATAACATACCGATTTTTAATGATAATCGAGCAATATTAATATAATATTTCTTATTGATTATGTTTTTTGCATTCATTTGAAAAAGGATAATAAAACTAATGTTGAAATGAGTGATTTGATATCCAGAAATGCTGACGGTCTCTGATTATTCATAGAAATAAGTGAATTTAGAAAATAAAAAGTGACAATTGATAAGGTTAAAATTATACCTTCTCTCAAAAATCTTGCGAAAAAAATTTCTGTTCAAAAATTAGAATGCCTTTGCAGAGTGATCAAGATCTTCAACCTAAGCCTCCAAGAAAGGATTATAGGAATATGGAACCTGTAGGCTACATTCTTATATTCTTTTCGATCTTCTTTGGCTTACTTTTGCTTTGGGTTATTTGCAATATTGTAGAATGCATTATGGCATGGCAACGCAGAAGAACAAAAAAGCTTTCTGACTTAGAACCAATACCAATAGATGAATATTCGGACTCTGAAGAATAATTCATATTCCCATTCTGGCTGTTAAATAATATTACATCAAGAATACAACATAAATCTACCAAATTGATGGTTACAAGATCAAATAAATACATTTGTTTTTATTTTTCAAAAAATCATTTTTTTATCAAACATTTTTACATTGTTTTTATATATGAATCTTAAATATATTTGAATAGGTAGTGCGTTGGCGGAGAAATAAAGAAAAAATATCAAAAATTATTAAAATATAAAAGATTTACAAACAAAATTTATTAAAGGAGGCCAGCAAGATCAACATTGGAAGAGCTACTAGGTACAAGGTAATTAAGAGCTGATTGGGATGTAGATCTTGACCTATAATTTGCAATTTTCGTTCTCAATTTTCCAGAGTTCGAAAACGCAATTCTTCGACCAGCATTTCCTGTTGCATTCACCTTCTTCTCTACATTGATCACGTGAAGATGCGGAAGTCCTGGCGGAGATTTCTGGGCTGAATTTGATTGGATTTCTTCAGTAAATGGCGAAACGATACCGAACTCTCTAACAGTACCCATCCTCTCGCATTCTTTGGTCAATGCTTTAAGGGAAACTGTTCGAAGTTTGTCTTTAGATTCGATTGTCTTCATCCAAGGGTATTTTTCGTTGACAAGTTGGTTACTGATATTCAGCCATGGATGACTTAGTACTTTATCCATATCAAATCTGTTTCTTGGATTAACTTGCATCATCCCTTGAATTAAATCAGTAAGTTCGGGAGATAGACCTTGAGGTAAACAGTAATCACCTTTAAGAATCTGATGGAGCATAACAGATGTGTTTGTCGTGGACCAAGGATGAGATCCAGTTACCATGAAAAATAAAATGACGCCTAAGGACCAGACATCGCTAAGTCTTCCATCGTATGGTACTCGGCACAAACATTCTGGCGAACAGAAACACGGAGAGCCGCAAAATGTTTGCATCATAATTTCTTTCGTAAGGTAACCACATAATCCGAAATCGGAGACTTTAATGTGGGGGAACTTGTCAATAAGAATATTCTCCGGCTTCAAATCTCGATGAGCAATACCATATGAATGACAAACGGAGACAGCCGTGGCCATTTGCTTAAATATCAATGCAGCAAGAGGCTCGTCGTACTTCTGATTCTGAATAATGTTTTCGTATAATTCACCACCTTCACAGTGGTCGATGATCAAATAAAAATTTTTAGTATCCCAAAAAAAATCGTATAATGCTACAATATTCTCGTGCCTTATGAATGCCATAGCGTTAATTTCTCTTTGAAATCTATTTTGGTCACCTGGATCAATTAAATTTGATTTCGGAACAATTTTACATGCATATATATTACCATTTTCTATATTTTTCACCTTTGAGACCGTGCTAAACGAGCCTTGGCCCAAAGTATTAAGAAACTGGTATGATTTAAGTTTATCCGTCATCAAAATTTTTTGAAAAAGTGTAACAAAACAAAAAAACGCGATGGAGATTAATTTTAGGTTAAAAAAAAAAAAAAAAAAAAAAAAAAGGTAGTGGGGCTTCCAGGCACTTCGTGCCCTCTAGCCCCCCGTCAGTTTTTCTGTCACTTTTCAGGTAAAAACATTTTTATTATATATATAAAATGAATTTTACAAAACCACCGTTACCCTTCTTTGGAAATAAGAGTAGATGTAAAGATATTCTATTGAGAGAACTTAAGAAACTATCGAATGGTCTAACATTTGTAGATTTGTTCGGTGGAAGTTTCTATATATCCCATCTGTGCCATACCGTATTCCCAGACTCAAAGATTATATGCAATGACTTCGACAACTATATGAACCGTCTCAAACATATACCAGACACTAACAAAATATTGAAAGAGTTAAAAGAAAAGATACCTATAGGTAAGATGGAACGTATACCATTAGATAAGAAAAATACTGTCAGAGAGGTTTTGAAAAAGGCAGAGTATATTGACTGGGATAGTATATCTGCTAGACTATTATATAGTGGTGCTATAAGAGTTCATGACATTGAAACACTTATGTCAAAAGTTTTATATCTTAACTATACAAATGTTTTCAAAGAGAACATAGAAAAATATATTGAGGGTATAGAGTTTGTGAGATGTCATTGGACAGAGTTGTATGAAAAATATAAAGACAAGGAAAATGTTTTCTTTATAGTGGACCCGCCGTTCTATAACACATGGGATTTTCAATACCAAGTAGACTGGACTTTGAGAGACTCTTTAGAAACTTTAGACGTTTTACATAACCATCCATGCTTTTACTTTACATCCGATAAAAGTGGTTTGGAAAGTGTCATGAGATGGTTAGAGGACATACATGACTATGAGTTTAGATATGACAAGATAGAATATGAGAGAGGTCCTATAAACCGGAGAAAGTGTCATAACAAAGAAATTTTATTGGTAAGTAAATGTGGTTTGAAATAGGACTACTTGTTTTAGGTTTTTTCCATTGTGTCATTTACTTATTTGACGTGGCAGAAAGATATAGAGAATATGAAGATGAACCAATGCCTGCAAATGTTCAGCATATGTACTCGTAAGAGATATTTTTATCTAATATTAAAATGGACGCACAGAACTTAGCGAATGCACAGCAACCTGGACAACCAAACCCAGAGAATATTCCAAATGAAGTTAGAATACAAACTGCAATGGCAAACTATGGTCAAGTGCCAACAGATGTACAAATGCAAACTGCCATGTCAAATGACGCTGCGTTAGGTTTGCCACCATGGTATGCAAATATGAGATGGAAAGAGTTTTATACAAACCCTGAAGTGGGATATAAACAACTCTATGCAGATGACGCGAACACAGGAGTTGACCCAGAGTATGTTTTCTACCAGAGGAGAAATAGAATGTATGAGCTCCAGTTAAAGAATGCTATGGAACTCAGAAGGAAACGTAAGAGACTAGGCGGACATTAGATTTTTACATATAGTAAAATGGGTTTCTTCAGTAGTATTGGAAACTTCTTTCGAAATGTTGGAAGAGGTATATGGAATGGAATAAAAACCGTAGGAAGAGGAATTTGGAACGGTGTCAAAAATATTGGTAAAAGAGTAGGTCAGTTCGTTGGTATTATACCTAAAGACCCTGAACCAGAAGAACAAGCTCCTGTTATACAACAGCCTGAACCTGCACCACAGTCTAGTTGGCAACCAAATCCAACACCTCAACCGTATTAAAATTATATTTTTACCGTTCGATAGTAGTTGTATATGAAACTAAGTTCTAAGTAAAACGCGTGGTATAATGGAATTATTCTCTTTCTTCCATCTGTAGTAAACCATACTTGAAAGTCTGAAATACTTCCACTTGGTGGTTCGTATAGCTTTGTAGGTTTTTCGTAAAAGTCATTTGCCAAGCATAAAAAAGAGTTTTGTGCACCAGAAAATGAAGCATGAACTATAATAGCATCTGAGTCGAAAACATCTTTAAATAAATATGGTTCATCTCTTGCATATCGACTGTAAATATTTGCTAAAGGAAGTTTGACTTTCTGATTTAACATTCTTTGCAAATAATACCATGACATTGCAGTGAATTCTGTATATATTTGTTCGTCTTTCTTTGGATTGTCTTCGTAGATTTGAAATGACACTTGTGAATTTTGTTTGTCATATACAATTCTCACATAAAGTGTGCTCTCGGTATTTGCATATTCATCAGCATATTTTGCATAACATGAATTTATTTTATCTTCTATATTTTTTAACGCAGTCTGTAGAGAAGATGAAAGGTCAACTTGTATTAGCTCAATTTCTTCCCACATTTTTCGTTTCCCTTCAGATATATAATCTATATGAAACCTTACAATAAATGGAAAACTTTTATCTTCTACAGACACAAACTTCATTCTACGAAAGCCAATAGCTTTTGTGACAGATGGGTCTCTTAGCCATCTTAATGGGTAGTCAAAACGATAGCCTTCATGCTTTACGGTCTCTGTCTCAAACTTTTGACCGACATTAGTAAAAAGTTCATCTAATGGTTTAGTTGTAGCAACTCTTGAATTTTCTTTTTCTATTGGAAGCATATTTTATCTAGAATAAAAATGTCAAATGAAACAGCGTCTATGAGAGAAATACAACACAACCGACAACTCATTTTGCAAGCTCTAAATAAGAACACAACAAACTTTTCAAACTATTCTAAGATATCTGAGTCATTGAAAGAAGGAAACTTAAAACTGACATTAAACCCAATGACAGATGAGTTTCTGTTTCAAGACAACAAGAACCATACTGTTTGTATAAATCCAACAAAAGGAACCTTAAACGAGAAACCTATAGATGAACTTCTTTTGAAAGCAGATGTTGACAACAAAGCTGACAAAGAGTATGTAGACGATGCAATAGCAAAAGAAGAAGAAAGAGCTAACAAAGCTTATGCAACAAAAGAGGATGTTGAAAAGAAAGCAGATAAAACATATGTTGACGATGAGTTAGCATGTGTGACTAGTGCGTTAGTGAAGAAGGCATATAAGGAATATGTGGATGAAAAAGACAATGAAATTAAAGAAAGGGTTGACTGGTACCATGAACGGACATCGAAGATTTTAAAAACTAAAGCCGATACAGGATGGGTTTCAGGGTGTTTAGACCTTAAAGCCGACAAGAACCATACACATACCATTGCAAATATTGCAAACTTACAAGAAACCTTAAACAGGAAAAGTGACGTTGGACATACACATACCATTGCAAATATTGCAAACTTACAAGAAAAGTTAGATGACAAAGCTGACAAGAACCATACACATACAAGTTTTACAACTGTTGCTATAGAAAATATTGAAGGAACGGTTGAAGAAACTGGTGGGGATGTATTAGATTGGAAACCTCCTAACTTTCCAGAAGGTTTAACATCGGATAAAAACATAACAACGAGAGATAACATTAGATGTAGAGATGTTTATGTCATGGAGGATGAAATAAAGTTAAATATTCACTGCTAAGATTTATATGACAAGAAGCAGACAAAAAGAGCTTCAACATTAAAGACAGAAATATTTCAAACCATTTACCCGTTGGTTCTATTTATACGTCTAATGACTCTACCAGACCAGAAGTAAGTACTTGGTTTTGGAACTTGGACTCAAATACTCGAAAGTTTTTTTGTATTGTGCACACACTCCAAAGAAAACAGGTGGAAGTAAACGATATCTGTCGACAACCTTGCACCACATAGTCATTCTGGTACAACAACTTTTCTGGCGACCATAGCCATCATTAAGAGACCACCATTATACAACTCAGAGTATGAAGCTGGCTAGACTTTTTATCTCCAGATTATAACCATTCAGCAAAAAGACTTTTCGACAAACTGAACCAGGAGGAAACCACCAACATACTTTACAACAACATCTACAGGACTAGGTAAAACATACATGCCACCTTACATGACAGTTTGTGCATGGTATAGAATTGCTTAGTCGTCATTTTCAACTTCTTTAGCATATTTCGTCAGAGTTGTCTTATATTTGTTTGGAACTGTCTTTGAAAGTATACCACTTGAACCTTAACAAGTTTGAAACGAGGTCTGACAATAGTAGTTTTATCTTCTGCTTGCAGTCTGTACATTTTGCCATGTTTGCCTAAACTTCATAATATTCTCTTGTATACTTTCTTCTATTTTACGAACACGAATGTGAGTACCTGTCGGGTTCCCTTGTTGTCATAGTCATAGTATTTTTCATATGGGTCGCGTTAGTATTTCATTTTTACTTGTCACCTTTCTGAAGTTTGAAGCCCGGCATTCTTTCTTTGTTGTCTCTTTTGACTAAATTTTAAATATATAGTCTTTCTCTAAGTCAGGGTTGTTTTCATTTCTTCACGGGGAGTGGTTTCCCAACTTTTTGTTTACGGTTATTGTAAATATTTAAAACTTGTCTCATCTTTGCATGGAGAAGTGTCTATATTTTCGTCATATGACATTTCATTTGCTTACCACCTTGTGGTTGGTTTAAGTCTCTTAACATTTTATACAACCGTCAATGACACCAAGAGCAGAATGGTTTTGGTCGACAATGAAATATTGGTTTACATTTTTTGAACGCAGATAGTTTTTAATATCGTCTGATTTGAAAGAACTTTCACAGTCAGATGTCAGTTTTGTTGGATGGTATTTGTCAACGAATATTGTCAAAGCAGTTTTCACATCTAAAATATTTTTGACTGTAATGGTATGGCTTCACAGTATCTTGTGTTTTGACCGAACAAATATAGCCAGTATGGTGGTCCATCTTCTCTATATCTCGGAATGTTTTCCATGATATCCATAACCAAGCATTTGGTGTTGAACTAAAGATTTTTACCAAGAGTGCTTTCTTTGTTGCTTTAGAAACATACGGTCCTTGTTTGATTCGTCATTTTTATCCTATAGAAATGGGTTTATTTGGGCCATTAGCAGGAGTCGATCTAG